TAAATCATTAAACAAAAATCAGTTATTATTAACTAAGACCCCAAAGGGAAGGAGGTTATATCTCTCACATCATCTTTCTATTCCCCTCAACTTGTAACTTTGCCTAGTTAGTTCTGATATATTAATGATAAAGGTCATGGGATGCTGCCCCCCGGCTGACCCTGGGAAAACGCTAATTCTGTCTTTCTCTCCTGCTCCATCTATTACTCCTCTTCTGACTTCAGTTTCCCCACCCCCACCATGTGCTCCCACGCTATTTCTTCCCACTGCCTGTTCCAGAGAATTTGGGTATTAAAAGGACACTTAAAGAAGCTGCGTAATGTATATAAATAAACTGCTGGAGTAATTTCAAGCATCAGCAGGAAGAGCTTTATGGCAATGCCATTTTTTGTGGGGAAAAGAACTGGTGTCGTTCTGGAAAATTTCTCTCAAAAATAAAAATGCCCAAATAGAGTTCTGGATTTTTTTTTTTAAAGATAAATCAACAACCCAGCCTATATATCTCCCTATGTAAAAATGAAGAATCATAGTTTCATTCAACTCCTTGCTGAAGTCACACAAGTTCCCCCCACTTCTCCTGGGTTGTGAGAAGGCCAGCCCGCTTCATAGTTGACATCCCTGAGGGAAATACCAGGAAAGGGTGAGGAGGAGGAAGGGTCAGGTTTAGTATGGATCCGTCTGAGATACTCTATGGCTAAACAGTAACTTTACCAGGCTACTCCCCCTTATAACTTCCTGGGCCTCAGAGCTGAGCGGACTTTCTTAAGCAGAAATGTTCATGGGCCTCTTCATTTTTCCCTTCAAAACGCACAAGTTGTGCAAGAAAAATCCACATTCCATACTAACAAAGCAAGGGTTATAATGAGAACTTGGTTTCTTACAGGCAATATTTTCATCTTTTATTTATTTTTTAAGAAAGTAAGCTTTTGTGGTAAGAAATCAAGACAGAGTAATAAAGAAGGATGGATGGAAGAGTGTGGAGTGGAAACTTCATTTTTTCCCCCCAAAGTGCAGGGATTGGGGAAGGGGGGGTGGGGGAGGTGGTCACTCCAGGTCCAAACGTCACTCCAGGGGCAACAGAGCAGAGCCAGAACCAAGAAAGGCCAGTGAAGTGGAGCCAGTTAGCTCGAGGATCAGCCCCAGGTCCCAGATGAGGCCTAGACCAGGAATTCAGCGGGCAGAGCCCGCGGGCCTCTGCTGACCAGCAGCCCACCGGAGAACAAAGGCCACTCAGTTTCCACACCTGTAAAATGGGAACACAGCCCCTTCTCACAATGTGCCCAGGATGTGCTCAGGAAACAACCCTTCTGGGTTGTGGTTCTGTGCTTCTCAAGCTATAGAAACAGAACATATTGCTCCTTCCCTTCCTTAGTAGTTCCAGGTGATCTTTGTCGTGCAAGGTGGGGAAGATGGCAGGGAGGGACATGCCCCAGCGCCCATGTAACCAGAGGCCTGGGGCTCCAGGCTTCGTGGGCACGACGACCCTGCCATCCCAGGCGGCCAAAGGGCTGCGGGAGGCTGGGCCTGCACGTGACTGCACCCCGTTGCCCCGGAGACGCTCAGAGGTTTGTTTTCAAAACCCGGACTCTTCCACCGAGCGGCCCGGGCGTCGATGGCGGGGGACCCGCGTAGGGTGGGCCTGGTCATCTGCGCACCGCTGTCCGGCCCCTCCCGGCAGTGCGTCCCCGCCGCCCCGCCGCGATGGTACGGCCCGAGCTTCGAGGTTGCTCAGCAGCCCAGCCCTCTCCAGAGTAGGGGTCCAGTTGCCAGGGAGTAGGTGAGAGGCTCGGAACTTGAGCGCCTGGGGTTCCCCCTGCTGCTGGGCTCAAGCGGGCCTGGGGAGGGCTTTTCGGGTGAGGAGGTGGCCTGGCGGTGGAGGAAGGGCCCTGTCCAGCGCGCCCGCCCACCCTGCGCCTCGGCCCCTTTGGCCTCAGTTTCCTCGTTGCGCGTCCAACGCTCCAACCACTCTGATTCCCCCGTCCCTGGTCCCCCAGGTTCCTTTGCCCCACCGTCCCCTGAGAGACCCCGAAACTGCCCTCTTTTGGTTTGTCCAGGTCGGGTGCGACGGGCTGGGCCTCAGCAGCCCCTTGGCAGTTGCAGAGCCCCCTACCTGGATACCAACAGCGTGCCATTTCTCCCCACCTCCAGGTTCCATCAGCAAAATGCTGGGCGTCGAGGAGAATGTGCCCCCGAAGGACCCTGGCGATGCAGAGAGCGGGTCTTGTAAGCCCGAAACACCAAGACCGACCCAGAAGAACAAGAGCAGCTCCGAGGACCACCCTCCCCGTAGGTCCATCCCCGGCGGCCTTGTCGCCTCTTGGGGGTGCTGAGTGTGGATCAGGTCGAAGGAGCCAGCTCAGGGCCCGCAGCCGCTGTGGCCTCACAGCTCCCTTCACCCTCCCTCTCTTTTGGTTTGCCTTTCTTCTCCACCCTAATCTCTAGGCTCCCTATTGACCACGAGGTCTTCAAAGAGTTTTCGGTCCTGGAGCAAGAAGGGACCCAAGCGTGATTACTGGAACCGGGCACGATTTGAAGCTGAGTCATTTCAAAGCCATCTTTGTTGTATTTAGAATTTGTAGGTGGAAAATGGCAGACACCTGGAGTAGATTTTAAAGAACCCAAATGATCCCAGATGGGAATTGTGTTCTCTCGGTGCTTTTGTTGTCTCAAGAAATAACACTACTCTGGGTTCATATTCTTTAGCTCTTGTAGTAGATGTTCTTTTGTGTTCCTGTTGGGGCACGCGGTCACTTCGGTTGGTCTAATCTCACTGGGACTCATCCTGCATTTCTCTTATAATAAGCTCCAGAGAGTTTAACCAGTCATCAATCTTGAAGACCTATCCACATGCAACAACATGAGTTAAATTCTTGAAGATTGAAATGGGAACATTTACTTCAAGGCCGTGCTACCAAGTTGAATTACATTTGTTTCTCTTGTAGCCACGTGGGGTCGCTGCTGGTTAACAAACTGGCACTAAAGCGGCAAATTGGGTGCTTTGTAATCCCGACTAGGGATAAGTATGTATTCTGTAGATATGAGCCCGAGGTGGGGTGAAAGTCACTTTTTTTGTAAATACAATTTAAGCAACTGAGGTGGCTATTTGAATGAATCCGTAGGTAAAACAACTTTCAATAAAATGAATAACCAAATTCCTCTTTAAAAAAAATAGATTTGAAATTTTATGTACTAGGCTGACTTGGTTAAGTTACTTACTATATTATCTTGAAAATGTGTTTGTCCTTGGGATCTGGATTTTAAAATCTACCTTAGTTGCATTTGATCTCTAAATTCTCTCCGAGCCCTCCCTTTTCCTGAATTTTGCAGCTGTTGGAGTTGCTTAATGCTGTGGTTAGCAACAGGGCGATTTTGTCAAAGCAGGCCTTTGATTTGTTGGCATTGGAAAGTGTATAATAGTTCCCTCAGTTTTTCAATAAGCTGCTATAGATCAGCCTCTGAAGATTTTTTTCTTAGTTCTCATTTCAAATTAGTGATAAGTCTATTTGCATATTTGACTGTATTTTGCCATTTTGGCTGGAATTAAAACTTCAGAGAGGCTGAAAAGTAAAGGGCACTTCAAACTATCCACTTAAGGTTCAATTCACCTTTATGTTTACCTAAGCGGGGATTCGTTGCACATGTTTTCTCTATTTTTTTCTCTTAACGAGACTAAAGTCATGGCTTGACCTCTAAAAACTTCATCATGTATCTTCTAAGAATAAAGGCATTCTCCTGTGTAACCCCTGTTTTACAATAAGTTTTTCCATTTTTAAATCATTTTACTAATGGAAAATTTAAACATTTACAAAAGTAGAGAGGCTAGTGTAACAAATCCCCATTTAATCACCCAGCTTCAACAATTACCAAGTCATGGCCAATCCCAGTTCATTTATATCCGCCCCACATCTTGGAGCCAAATACTTTTCTGTGAACAAAACACGAAGCTTCATTGAAAGAGAGTGAAAAAATATGATTCCTTCTGTGCAACTTCGTTTTCAAGCCAAGTAATCATTATAACTACTATATATGCTTATTATATGAGAATGCTATCAGCTAGGTCTTTACTAAGAACCTAGAACAGTGGTTCTCAAATGCTGGCTTATGAAAAAATTCTTAGCAATCTATTGGGTTGTGAGAAAAGTCATGACGCATTTTTGAACGAAAAACATAGAAAAAAATATGTCATGATTTTTCCGACAACCCAATATTTAGTAAAATGAAATAAAGATGTAATGAGCTTTTCCTAAAGCTAAATTGATTCCATTTAAAAGATCAGTCTTCCTTCTGACAGTATTCCCTTTCTGCTCTTTTGGAGGTTACATTATCCTTTCTTTTATGAAATGATGGTTTTGATGGTGGTAGAGTAGGTTTTTTTGTTTGTTTGTTTTTTCATTTGCTTGTTTCACTGTCCATACTTGGCCAAACAGAAAGTTGGCAAGTTGTTGTCAGTTGCTCACTTTTTGGAAAATTAATTAGTCTGTGAAATCTTAAATCTGAGAACTGTTGGTATAGCAGACCAAATGACATTGGCACCATTCAGCACTATCTGTGTGGAGAATTTTATTTTATCAGAGGCTGGAAGAGAAGTGTGGAATCATAATATCAATACATGTTTATCATAATAAATGTTTATTTTTGTAAGTAAACCATTGTTTCTTTGCTGCTTAATTGTTATTTTTACTTTGTGAGAGAAAAGTTTTAATCAGTTTCACTTTCTATTTATTATAAAATAACTTCTCTGCCCTCCCTCACCCCCCCCCATGCTGGACTATGAGAGGCCCAGTCAAGGGGCCTAGAGTCACAAAACGTAAATGACTAGAATGGTTGAATGAGTTTGTGTAAGATCAGTGTGAATCCAAATTTTACACAGAGATTCGCTCCGCAGTGGAGCGAATCTCTGAGTAAAATAGGAATTCAGACTCGTGTGGGTTCACTGTTGTCCACCATGAGTTCTTTCTGTCACAGGTCTGGTAGATACAGGTAATGACGCTTCAAAGCTCAGCAACGAGATTGGGATGAATCATGATTTTCACATGGAAGAAGTTTTACCTCCAAACAGGTACAGGCTCTCCTCACTTTACCATTTCATTCATCCTGGCAGAGGTATTTAGCACTAATGGCTTCTGACCAGACTTAAAGCATTTTTATTTAATAATACAATCAATGTTTGGATATAAGCCTTTAAGAGGTCGCCACAACTTAAACAGAAGAGTAATCAATTATAATTATTAGTATCAGAGGGGCGCGAAGCAAAGGTTATTTAACCAGTGAATACACCAAAGCAATTGTTGAAATGTTCACTTTGGGACAGGGTGGATTTCAGATCTTCTCCGACAGATATGGAGGAAGTGGCCTGGAGTAGCTAGCTATTGCTGCGTGACAAATTACCCCAAACTTAGCAGCTAAAATGACGGCGTTCATTATCTCAGTTTCTGTGGGTCAGAAATATGGCCTGGTTTAACTAACTGTGTGCCTCTGGTTCGCGGTCTCTCGTGACATTGCAGTCAGTCTGTTGACTGTTGGCAGAGCCCCCCTCCTTCTTGGACACGTGGACCTGTCCATAGGGCAGCTCACAACGTGGCAGCTGGCTTCCCTCAGAGCAAGGGAAAGAGAGTGTGAGAGCCAGTGCCCCTGACTGAAACCACAGTCTTTTTGTTACTTAATGTCAGAAGTCATATCCCATGTCCCTGCTACATTCTGTCCCCTTAGGAGGGAGCCACTAAACCCAGCCCACACTCCAGGGGACGGGATTACACCAGGGTGTGAATACCAGGAATTATAGATCTTTGGGGTCATTTTGCTAGCTGCCTACACATAGCTCCTATCAGTTACTCTTTTAAGTGATCACAGATTAAACAGGCACAGATAAAATGGTTAATTTTCTAATAGTGACATTTTTAACTCTTTTTTTCCTGGCTTCATAATTAGCTTAATTTATGAGTTAGGGTCAGAACCTTGTTGATAAATAATACTCCCCCACCTCCATCAAGCTTTATTTTGATTCTTCTTAGTTCTATTGACATTGCAATCAGTAAATAAGAACCATTCAGTAAGTATGAATTGAATGGCTCTGCTGGCTTATTAGCAGGTAAGTGGGTACATTCACTGTCAGAGTTTACATTTTAAAACAGCTCTAATTTCCCAACAATAGCCAGAATAAATAATGGTAGCTTGTGATTAGTCGGCTTCCTTAAACGCTTTGTTATTTGGCAGTGTCAGGGAATGTGTCACCAAAGTGCCATTCCCTGCCACAAGCTGCTGCCTGGTCTGCGTGCTCTGCTTTGCCCTTGCCTGGTGCCAACAGGTGCCCGTGCCAAGCACAGTTCTGGGAACAGGTTTCCACCAAAATCCAGACTCCTAGCACCTCTCTCACAGCTGGCAGGAGAAGAGAAAAATGCAGCAGGGAGAGTGAGGTTCTGCTAAAGAGCTGGTGGTGAAGGAGTTGGGGTAGGGGAGCAGGTCAAGGAAATGAGAGAGGGACAAATGAGCAGGGGAAATAGTCCTATTGAGAGCTGGGTTTTCGAGTAAGGTGATGCAAAGTTTATCTCTGGAAAAAGGTTGAAATAGAGTTTGAGGTTACTCGTCTATGATTCATTTGTGGGAGGTATAAGGTCTGTGTCTAGATTCGTATTTTTGCAGATGTCCAGTTGTTTCAGCACCATTTGTGGAAACGACTGTCCTTTCTAAATTGAATAGTCTTTGCTTCTTCTATCTTTCTAAGGGGGAAAAAAAGACTGATCTTTCTGGCTTCCGTGACTGGCTACAGGAGGCTGGGAGTATAGGAGGAACAAGTGTGGAGGGGAACGATGGTGAATTCAATTTTAGACCTGCCGATTTGGAAATATATGTGGGTATTCAGGTCTTCTCAAAGAGGGAAAATCCTTTCTTAGGGTTGAAAACTATAAGAAAATGAAAGGTCATTTAGTTCATTGCTATGTCTACATACATGGAAACTGAGTCACAGATCATGTAGACTAGATGCAAAATCAGTGCTAAAGCTCAGCCTGACCGCTATGCAGGGCTCTTCCTACTGCAGAGAGAGGGCTTTTGCGGATGCCCTTGACAGCCAAGCCTACCCCAGCTGTTCAACTCTGATGCAGTCCAAACAGTTCCTGGCCTTTCCCTGTCAATATAATGGCATTTTATCATACGAACACTGGTCTGGGGCTTAGGAGATAATGTCTTATGGCAGTTTTTGGATAGAGAAAGTGATTTGTTTATTTAACCCTTGTACAGCCTGGAAGGCAAGGTCAAGGAGAAAATGCACGATGCCTTTTGGGATCATCTTAAACAGCAACTATCAGCTACTCCCCCAGACTTCAGCTGTGCTCTTGAGCTTCTGCAAGAAATTAAAGAGGTGAGTGACCAATGTTCCATTCGTAGATGTAAAGTTCCTGGACATTCCCAGCTCATTCGAATGTCAGTGGCTAGCAAATCCTAACTGAACGTGGTCTGTGAATCTAATCAGTAGGCAAAAATCACACGTTAATTTCAACAAGGAAGTTTTAATATAAAAATCATTATAACAGGGAATTGGAGAAATGAGGGCTTTGGGCCAGTAAGAAGCAAAGAGAACTTTAAAGAACACTGGAATATCAGCTACAAGGAGGGCCCACCGTCTCCCTAGAGCTGACATAGAGCACCCCAGGACTCATTGGAGAGGGCACCGCTGTGCCAGGGGAAGTTGCTGACCGCCGCACACTGCAGGTGCTAGGGCTAGAGCACCAGCCTGTGCTGCAGCAGCCTGGCACTGGAGACGTCACTCAAGCTGCAGGAGCTGGCTGCCGGCAAAGCCACACATACTGCAGGAGCCTGCCAAGGGGGCATTCCAGAGCCCGAGAGAAAAGCTCTTGCCCTTTGGAATGTTTTTCTAGTACATGGTGTACACACCCTCAGCGGACCCCCAGTGATACACACCCTTGTATAATCCTTTCTCTCCTTGAGTGAGGATGAGATCTGTAACTTGCCTCTAACCAGTAGAATGTGGCAGAGGTGGTGGGATGTCACATTTTGTTACCTAAGACTCTTAGCGGACTGAGAGATGTTGTCCTGCTGGCTTTGAAGAAGCAAACAGGTACATTGTGAACTGCCTCTGGAGAGGGTCGCATGGCAAGGTGGCCTCTAGGACCAGCATCCAACCAATGGCCAGTTAGAAGCTGGGGCCCTCAAGCACACAGCTGTCAGGAAATGAATTCAGCCAACAATTTGAACTTCTTCCCCAGTCAAGCTTCCACATGAGAATGCAGCCCAGCTGACACCTACATTATAGCCTTGGAGACCCTGAGAAGAGGACCCCATTAAACTGTGCCTGGACCCCTGACCCACAGAAGCTGTGAGATAATAAATGTATACGCTGTTTTAAGCATCTAAGTTTATGGTAATTGGTTATACAGCACAGAAAAATGATTAATAGTGCCCTCTACAGATGAAGCTTAAAAGTTACCATCTGGTAAAGGAAACATTTAAAGGAGTTCCTTTTTCTCAGAGCAGAGAAAGGAAAGATGGATTTGGTGCTAAGAGATAATAAATTGACAAATGTCACATTCCACTCCTTTGGTGACTTAGCTCCCATATGCACATTTCTACACACATTTGAATTCTGGAACTGTCTAATTTTATGACCAGATAGGTCAGATAACACCTAGCTCCTCATGGGAAGCTCAGACCACATGGTCACCCAGTGTCGTATGGTGAGGTATTTACTTTTGATCAAGGCCTAGGAGCAAGCCAGAAATTGTTTTTCAGAAGGCAAATAGTTATCTTCAGAAAAGGGCATATATTTGCCCCAGTGTCCTAGAGATCTGTACTGTGATGCTCATATGGGTGCTTGCCAAAGGCTCAGTACAGTGTCCTTACTTGCCACGGACACTTCAAGTATCATTGAACTTGCTGGATCCTAAGTCCCAAATGGTAGAGCAGCACTTACGGCAGCCTGGACTTCTGGCTCTGGGTCCTACCTGAAATTGACAACCTCACAAGTGACTCTAAATGAGGGTCACATAAGAACGTCCAAACCTGTGGAGAATTTTATAAGAGCCTGAGTTTATTTGAGCCAAACCGACGACACCATGCTGTGGAGCAAAATCTCAAATGTGCCAGAGAATGACAGTTTTGCAGTTTCTTTTATACATTTTGAATTAAGGAGGGAATGTAAGGAAGATTATAGTTAACAAGATTATTTACTCTCTTGAGGGGTCTGAATAAGATTACTCTGGAAGTTCAAAGGTGTTTTAACCTAGATGCATAGAAACAGTGGGCAGGACTGACTTAAGGCAAGGATAAACCTTTTACTAAAGAGGTTGCAGGCCTGGGGTGTGACTACCCACCATAACCTGCCCATTTAGGAATTTATGATCAGGTCACCCTGTGAGATTACTTTCAGTCACTTAACTTGTCAGATTGATTACAGAGCACCTTTTGCATTCACAAAACACAAATGTGGTGTAGGTTACCTTGAAAATCCAAAAAGACCTGTTAAGTATTGTGCCTTTTTTTTCATGGTGGGTGGTTTGAGGTACAGCAACTTGTCTTTCACCTTGGAGGGACTAGCTTCACAAGATGCAGGCGACTGAAGCTCTGGCAGTTTTACTGAGATGATGGGCTGCTGAATTTTTGTGGGGATTATCTGCCGTCCTCCAGTTTGCATGTCTTTCTACGGTATCTACAATATTTGCTGCTTCCTGCTCATCAGATCCAATGGACAAATGGCCATTGAGTTCGAGCCTCACTCATGGTACCAATTTTGTATCAGTCAGGGTCCAATCAGGAGAAGGAAAGCAGGCAGTCATTTGAGCAGAGAGGAGCTGTAATGCAGTGGGAGCTGGCTGAGGGGGAGCACACCAGGACCAGGAAGGAGGAGTCTTCGTTTCTCATTAGCATCCTCTACTAACAAACCCTAACTTTGTGCCAGTCAGCAAAGTAAAACTGCAGAAAGGGACCGGCTGCACTTTCATTGTCGGCACTGAAGGGTAGACTCAGAACTCACAGGCTCCACATCGATGACTGGCGTCATTTACCATTTGCATAGACAACGTGGAGCACCTTGCACTTTGTTTAAGAAGAAGCTAAACATGGGATCTTGCTATGACAACACAGTGGTCCATTCAATTAAATAAATGCTCACTGAGCCCCACCCCTCACCCCCACCGTGTCCTGTATGTTACAGAGGCACAGAGATGAAGAAGAGTCTCTGTTCACAGGCAAATGGGCTATTTCCAGTTCCTCTTAGCAGTTCATTTGCTTGTTTTATCCTTATTCTTTGAAGTAAAATCTCAAAAGTGCCTGCTTTATAAAATGAAGAGTACCTCATCACCATGTCATGGTGTGTATTTTATATTTGTTGCAGTTTGTGTTTTTTGGGTTTTCTTTAAAGATTTTTTTTTTAAAGATTTTATTGGGGAATCGGGGGAAGGGGAACAGACAAGTTGCTGTCCTTTTGTTCTTCAGTCTAGTTGTGGAGGATGTCGCTTCACTGGCCCATGTTGGTATTGTGATCATTGCACTCTTCCCAGGTGAGGCAGATCAGTCGCCAGCCACTGGATGGACGGCCGCTCACAGCAGCTCACGGCAGCTCACGCTGGCTGCCAGCCACTCACGGTAGCTCACGGCAGCCCACTGAAGCCCCACTGCAGCCTACGCCTACTCACAGCAGCCCAGCTCCAGGTCGAGCTGTTGTTCACCATCTTAGCTGTAGAGGGCGCAGCGTCACTAGCCCTCATGTGGGATCCTAACCGGGGCCCTGCTGCTCAGAGCTGGCGTCCCAAGCCAAATCTTGACCAACATGCCACTCGGCCAGCCCCCAGTTTGTGTTTCTGTTTTACCACACTCCTTGATTTTATTATCCCTTTATCTCATTCTGCCTAGATAATAATATATGTTGCTGTAATTGATCCCCTAAAGCCTTGGATATTATTGGCCCCTAAACAAAGATAAATAGTGCTCTCTAGGGAATTTAGGAACCTGATTTCTTGATCCTTAAAAGCCACAGGCTGGGATGTCTTTGGCGAGAGTGTTTGTCCATTAGAGAAAGTCTGGGACTCTAAACTGAAGGCAAGTCCTCTGACTTTGTTTCCTGGACAGATCCTGCTCTCGCTGCTGTTACCACGCCAGAACCGCCTAAGAAGTGAAATCAAAGAAGCTCTGGACATGGATCTCCTCAGGTGGGAGGTAGAACGCGGGGCCCTGTGTGTCCTTCACCACTCTAAGCGTGTCCTCAACATGATGACTCTGCTGTGCGCACCAGTTCGGGATGAAGCCGTGCAGAAACTTGAGAATATTGCAGACCCCGTTTGCTTACTGAGGTGAAACCTGCCTCTCTTCCTTTTTTTTTTTTTTTAAACCTGCCTCTTCTGCTGGGCTGGCAGAAGCTGGCCTGAACGCTGGCGGAGAGCGCCCTGTCTGGCTGGCTCTAGCTGACTAACCCCTTCTCTCTGGCCTATTAGCTTTCCTTTTCCAAAGATGGCCTTGCCATCTTTGGTTATCCTTTTAGATTGAGTGGGCCCCCTGTGTAACATCCTACCATAAAACGCGAGCATATGTCATCTTTTCTCCCAAGGAGTCCAAACATTACTTCCCCAAGTCTTCTCGTTGAAGTTCATACAATATGGGGCAAGGGGGACATGGAGGGTGTATGACGGGAAGGTTAAAGTGATTGGCCCAGAAATAGGATCAGAAATAGCACCACCTGCAATCCCACTTCCCAGAGAGACTTGTTAGCATTCTGGTGTGTTTTCTTCTGCTGACTACCTTTTCTTAAGAGACACCAGAATGACCACTGTGGAAAGAGATCTAGCTCAGAGACTTCCAGGTCCACAGGTTTTCCTGGTTTTGGCTCTGCCATTCACTCACTCTGGGCCTTGGGTCCTGGGCCACATGTCATCTTTTGTAAATTTAGGAGGCAGGACTAAGTTAGTTTTTTTTTTGTTGTTTGTTTTTTTTTGGACTAAGTTAGTTTTTTTTTTTTTAAGATTTTTATTGGGTAATTGGGGGGATGGGAACAGTACTGGGGAATTAGGGGAAGGGGAACAGACGAGTTGCTGTCGTTTTGTTCTTCAATCTAGTTGTGGAGGACACTGCTTCACTGGCCCAAGTTGGCACCATCATTGCGCTCTTCCCTGGCGAGGCAGATCAGTCGCCGGCTTCTGGACGGCCGCTCACTGCGGCTGCTGGCCACTCACGCTGGCTGCTGGCCGCTCACGCTGGCTGCTGGCTACACACGGTAGCCCATGGCAACCCACTGCCACAGGGATTGCAGCCTACGCCGTCGCCAGCGACTCACAGCAGCCCAGCTCCAGGTTGAGCTGTTGTTCAGCATCTTAGCTGTAGAGGGCAGTGTCACTGGCCCTCATATGTGGGATCCGAACCGGGGCCCTCTGGCATCCCAAGCGAGTTCTTAACCATCGAGCCACTCGGCCGGCCCTGGACTAAGTTAGTTTTAAAGCCCCTCCTAATTTTAGAATACAGTGAATACAAGAATACTCCTTGTGTTGGAACCCCTCTCACTAGATTTCTTGTCATAGTATCAATATTCTGTTTTCTCTTATGTCAGAGGGATCTTTCAGGTTCTGGGCCTGATGAAAATGGACATGGTAAACTATACTATCCAGAGCCTTCAGCCCCACCTACAGGAACATTCCATCCAGCATGAACGGGCTAAATTCCAGGAACTCCTCAACAAGCAGCCTAGTATGTACACAACTTGAGGGCAGCGGTGGGACTGTCTGACCTTGGGCCTGACTTGTATGATGCTGGAGAGTATTCTGTCTCTTAAGGAACAGGAAGTTTCTTCTTCAGGTAGCGGGAGGGGGAAGGAACAGCCTTCTAAGACAGAAAGACACCCAAAGCATTTGTTCATTGAGAAAAGAACCTTAGCCTTGCAGCCTCAGGGATGCGGGAGCTGAGGCCGCTCACACACTTCCTGTCACAGGCCTTCTCGATCACACCACCAAATGGCTGACCCGAGCGGCCGCAGACCTCACCGCGCTGCCTCCAACTTGCCCTGATGCTCCCGACTCCTCCAGTATGGCCTGCCCATCCCCAAACGAGGCAGCCAACAGCCCAGAGCCCGTCAGCCCTGCCATGGTGCTATCCCAGGGTTTCCTGAACCTTCTTCTCTGGGACCCTGAAAATAAAGAGTTTCCTGAGGTAGGCCTGCGTGGGGCCCCACCTTGTCGTTTTGTGTTCAGGACTTCATCAGGACCCTCCTCTCTGACAGCCCGTCGTCCTTCCTTGCTTCCTCAGACCCTGCTGAGGGACAGAGACCGGCTGCAGGAGCTGCAGTCCCAGCTTCACCAGTTAACCGTCCTGGCCTCAGTCTTGCTGGTGGCCGGGAGCTTCTCTGGCAGTGTTCTGTTTGGCTCACCTCAGTTTGTGGATAAGCTGAAATGCATCACCAAAGCCCTCATGGAGGAGTTTAGCTCCAGGTGAGATGCACAGGTTTGTTTGTTTTCTTAGAGCTGATGATATGTGGTATGCGATTCATGATCGGCAGATCTTGAATGATTGCTTACGTTCCACCCAAACCACAGAAAGGCCCCATGGGCTCATCCACGGAGGTTGTCCCTGTCTTTCCATAAGTGGTCTTGAGGCTTGTGGCAAAGAAAAATAAAACTTTATTCCAGAAAGAGTAACTTGGAGGATAGTTTGTTACAAAATGATTCATGATCATGTTTGCCGCAAGGAGCCGTTACCTGGCTGAGTGGATGGCAGTGCAGTGGGCTGGGCGTGTGTGTGTTTAGGAACTGAATGGTCAGCAGCACTGACTGAACCTCCACTGTGTGCAGGGCATCACAGCAGCGGGGTCAGAGGCTAGGCTTCTCACTGGAACTGGTGAGAGTGGGACAGATGACTGTGGGAAATGTCGGAGAAAGTCTTAAAAATGGATGTACACATATACAGAGGGTGCCAAAAAAGTGTGTACACATTTTAAGAAAGGAAAAAAATGCATTAAAATTACGCTGATGGTAACCACTTTGAGCACCTCTTGTAATTGCAGAAGTCAAACGTGACTTGTAATCATCTTTTTGTTTTTTGTTTTTTTAAAAGATTTTATTGGGGAATTAATTGGGAGAGGGGAACAGCGTTGGGGAATCTGGGGAAGGGGAATAGACAAGTTGCTGTCCTTTTTGTTCTTCAGTCTAGTTGTGGAGGACGTCGCTTCACTGGCCCATGTTGGTATTATCATTGTGCTCTTCCCGGGTGAGGCAGATTGGTCGCCGGCCATTGGACAGCTGCTCACAGCGGCTCTTGGCAGCTCACACCCGCTGCTGGCCACTCACGCTGGCAACCGGCCACACACACGGTAGCTTATGGCAGCCCACTGCAGCAGGGGCTGCAGCCTACACTGTCCCAGGCGACTCACGGCAGCCCAGCTCCAGGTTGAGCTGTTGTTCACCTTCTTAGCTGTGGAGGGCAGTGTCACTGGCCCTCATGTGGGATCCAAATCGGGGCCCTGCTGCACAGAGTTGGCGTCCCAAGCCAGCTCTTAACCAACGCGCCACTCAGCCGGCCCGTATTCATCTTTTATTATCAGTATATATTGAGTATTACAATTTTAATAGTTTTTTCTTTTCTTAAAATGTGTCTACATTGTTTTGGCACCCTCTTTATATAAATAAATTCCATGGGCCTAAAGAATACTGAGTTGATCCAAAAGCAGAACCAAACCCTTGTCCGGAATAGACTTTATCGTGTTTACTAAGAAGTAGAGCACAGTACCGTATGAGATAGTAGTTGGTATCTGATGGTTAAAGTGGAGACTGAAGACACTGAACCTACCCACTGACCTCTGCTGCTCCCCGGGGCTGGGCTGAGGGCAGGAAGACAGCTGGGAGACGCCCTCAGGTGGGTATAGCTGCTGTATGGCGCTTCCCAGGCTCTGGGCCTATGCCAGAGCCACCTGGTGGTACCAGCTTCCTCTCCTTCATGGTCTAGGCCCGAGGAGGCTATGCTGACTGTGAGTGAACAGGTGTCTCAGGAAATTCATCAAAGCCTCAAGAACATGGGCCTTGCTGCTCTGAGCAGTGACAGCACGGCGTCTCTGATTGGACAGCTGCAGAGCATTGCCAAGGAGGAGAACTGCGTCCGCAGTGTCATCGGTAAGCGTGCCGTGGGGGGTGAGAGCGCTGCGGGGAGAGGTAGAGTCCAACCCTGGAAGTCAGTGGCTGAACCGTTTAACAGTCAAAGGCATGATCATTGGGCTAGTCACTGTTTAGGCTTTAGTGTTTTCAAAATGCTGGTTAAAAATAATATATATTTTCTTAGTTTGAAGACTGACTCTGGTTTTAAGGAAGATTTGTACCCCAGGAATTCATGACTTCTAGGTGTGGCCTACTGTCCAACCAACCTGGTTAAGTCAGCCCTGGCCTTGGTCATTTTCTGAGTGCAGGCTAGGACCTGTGACATCCACCGCCTGCCAACAAGAAACTGCTGCTGAATTATGCTGAGGACATGGTCCCCTAGCAGGGACTCCCACCCACGTTGGAAGGGAGGCTGTGAACTTGGCTTTGCTCTTAACCTCAGACATAACAGTCCAAGATCCTCCTGTTATGTCAAATACTCAGTAGGACCTAACTGATGGATACTTAAGGAGTCTTGTGAATCATCAAAAATTTACTAGCCCACTAGTTTTTTATCTTGGCTTTGAACTTGGGAGCTAGATAGCAGCCCCCTGCCCCAAAAAACAAATTTGCTTTTCTTTAGCTAAGCAAGTGGGTTAGTGAGTAGCTCAGTGAACCTAGAACTTGGATGAGTGCAGGGGCAGCATTTCTCCCTGAAAGCTGTTTGCCTGTTCCCTTCTCTCTGTCTTTTCCTGCCCACAGATCAGCGGATCCATTTGTTTCTCAAATGCTGTTTGGTCCTTGGTGTGCAGCGGTCTCTGTTAGACCTCCCTGGAGGCCTAACCCTCATCGAAGCAGAACTGGCCGAACTGGGTCAAAAGTTTGTCAGCCTAACGCATCATAATCAGCAGGTGTTTGGCCCCTACTACACAGAAATCCTCAAAACCCTCATCCCGCCAAGCCAGGAGCTGGAAACAGCGGTGGAGTCTCTCTGACAGCACTGGCTCCAAGCCCTGGCACCTTGGACCCAGAAGGGCAGCCCATCATTTTCCTGGGGTGATATCACCAGTGACCGGCAAAGCAGTATGCCTTTCACCCCCGCTGCAGCCAGTGCCGGGGCGTAGTGATCAAGCGTGTGAAGCCAGCTGGCCCAAATTCATTCACAAATAAACTTGTGAGCTGAAAACCCCTCTTCCTGTGCTGAGCTGTGGCCAGGCCCTGTGCCCTCGGCCCCCAACTAGCTAAGAAGCCAACAGGCCCCCAGTTTTTCCTCCACTGGCTAGGTGTTCCCTTCAACAGGAGAAGCCAAGAAGCTAAGACACCCAAGTGCTAGCGTTCTTTTGTCTAAGGGTAAAGCATTTCTCTGAGGGCTCTGAGAATGCTCTGGAATTATCCAAAATGTGAGTATAAGGGCTTCTCAGGAAGTTAGAAAAAAAAATTTTTTTTTTAAGATTTTATTGGGGAATTGGGGGAGGGGGACCCACCAAGTTGTTCTTCAATCTTAGTTGTGGAGGGCGCCAGTCGCCATCTGGCTGCTCATGGGCAGCTCGTGGCCTCTAGGCTCAAGGTGCCGAGTTCAGTCTTAGTTGCGGGTGGGCATAGCCACCATCGAACAGGCAATCTTGTTGTTACACCAGCTGAGCCGTCCTGCCACCTGTTGGCAGCTCAGCGACAGCTCAGCTCAGGCGCGCGTCACTGGCCCATGTGGGAATCGAACTGGTGGCCCTGTTGCTCAGAGCTCGTGCTCTTAAGCCAACTCTTAACCAACTGAGCCACTCAGCCGACCCCTGGAAGTTAGAAATTTGTTTTGTCCACTTCAGCTCAGGATTGGGCATGGCTGAAAGAAATTATTAGGAACCTCACTTCTAGGACCAAATTCCCCTGAAGGTTAGGTTTCAAAGGAGTCGAGAAATAGTACGAGCTTCATCTCCCTCCTCTGTTGCAGGGTCTGCAGCACTGTGCCAACTGGGGCTGGATGAAAAATGTTTGTTGGCTGCTGTGAGCCTGTGGTTGAGGACAGGTTTCAGGGTTCATGGGATTTCTCGCTCAAGTATCCAGAGTTCAGGCTTGGACAGTTGGGTCAGCGACTGACTTGGGCCAGGTTTTTCCTTCGTCCTGTCCTCTAGCCGAGTGAGTCTCATGTTCCCTCATCTCTAAGCTTAGCACACTTCCTGACAGGGGCTGAGGGCATTCAGAGGTAGAACACCTTCCATCCTTCTTCCCACTTCCAGTCTGAGACTTTGATTGGCAGTTTTGGTTGTGAGCTCCTGTTTGGCATCGCAAATGAGAGATGCTCTGAAAGGACCTGGGCTTGTCTCTGGGATTGTAGAGATCCAACCCGTCATTCTCAGGGTGACGGCAGCAGACCAGCCCCAACCTAGTATGGCTGAAATGAGGAAAATGTCCCATTAAGATTCAGCCCCCCACCCCCACCCTTTTGTAATGCACAAGAGAAAATGGAAATACACTCGTGTGCTCTCAAGGTAGGGTGAAGAGACTGTTCCCACCATTTGAGGAGATGGAGGGAGCTGAATATAACATGCCTAATGTAGGAGGAACAACTGAAGAGGGGTTTGAGTTCCCTTAGCCCAGGGTTTCCTCCTCACCGACTTCCTTTTTAGAGAATAGAGCGTAGATGGGTGGCACAGCCCTGTCAACAGTGTGACTCTTACTATGACCAGAAAAGCCTGAGGGCCTGCCTGGGTCTCTTAGAGTTTCCTCATTCTGAGGATGTCTTGTAGCTGGAGAAGCCCATAAAAAGAAGTATGTTTAATAAATAGTGAGGTTTGTCTAGATGGATTCTCTTATCTGCAGCATTTGGAATTTTTTTTAAATCCGCATTTTGGAAGCCTTATTTCAGAGGCAGACGTGATCTGAAGAGATTCCTGTGCAGAGGGCTGCCTGGTTGGTGGGTGCAGACACGGGCTGACAATAGAACCTTGCTTTGTACTTCACAATTAAAATGTGAAAAGATCGACTTCTTAGAATTTTTTAGTTAATTTTCCTTTGCCTCTACGTGGAGGAGGCAGGGATTCTGAACCAAACAAGGAATGATACCTCTATTCAATCCTGCACATGGTTTGAGGGATTTAAATTTCGAATTGTAGAATACACATAAAATTTACCATTAGTGACAATTAGTACATTTACAGCATTGTACAACTGTCACCACTATCTAGTTCCGGAGCATTTTCATCACCCCAAAAGGAAATTCCACACCCATTAAACAGTCATTTCTTATTCTTCCCTCCCTGTAGCCCCCCCTGTCCTCCCACCCCTCTTCTTCTTTTCCTTTTCTTGTAAGACCAGCAATTCTATTGAATTAGGACCTCACTCTTATGACCTCATTTAACCTTAATTACCGCCTAAAAGCCCTATCTCCAAATAGTCATATTGGGAGTTGAGGCTTCTACATAGGAATTTTGCAGGGACACAATTCAGTCCATAACATTTGTGGATTTGTCTGTTTCTTTCAGTTCAGTCCATTTTTGCTTCACATATTTTATAGCTCTGTTGTTTGGTGTGTGCACATTTAGGATTGATATGTGTTCTTGGTGCATTGACTCTTTTATCATTATATAATGCCCCTTCTCTCTTATAATTTTCTTTGCTCTGAAGTCCACTTTATGAGATTTTAATAGAGTCGCTCATGCTGTCCTTTGATGTTTGTATTACATATCTTTCCTATTATTCTACTTTCAACCTGCCTATATTGTTATTATTTGAGGCAACTTTTCTTGTAGACAGCATATGGTTAATGTTTTTTAATCTACTGTGCCAATATGTCTTCTAATTTGTGTTTTTAGACCATTTAAATTTAGTGTAATTATGATATGTTAAGGCTTAAGTCTGCCATTTTAATTTTTATTTTCTAGTTATTCCCTTTTCATTTTTCTAATCTCCCTGAGATCTACTTGAAAAATGTTTAAAATTCCATTTCAATTTACTTGGGTTTATCTCCTTGCATAACGTTTTTAGTGTTTGCTCTAGGTATTACATGTATGCATAACTTGCCATAATCTACTGGTCTCATCATTTACCAGTTCAAATAAAGTATAGAAATCTTACCTCCCTTTACCCTCCCCATTTAAAAGATAATTGTTTTAAATATTTCCTCCACATACATTAGACTCTGTTACAATTTTTACTTCAACCACCAAACATAATTTAGAACACTTAAGAGGAAAAGGAAAGTATTTATCCATATTTTTGCTTAATGTTCATCCTTCCTGATGTCCCAAGGTTACTTCTTTTATCATTTCCTTTCTATTTAGAAAACTATTTCCCATTCTTTTAGGGCGGGTCTGCTAGTGACTAAGTCCCTTAGTTTTCCTTCATCTGAGAATGTCTTGATTCCTCTTCATTTCTAAAGAATATTTTCGCAGGGTATAAATTCTGGGTTCACAGTTCTTTCAGCCCCTGAAAAATAGTGTACTACATCCTCCTGGCCTCCCACGTTCTGCTGAGAAATCCAGTCATTCAAATTACTTTTCCTGTATAGGGAAGGTGTCATTTCTCTCTCACTACTTTCAAGAAGTTTTTCTTTGTCTTCCATTTCCAGAAATTTAGTAATTATGATGTATTTTGACATGGATTTCTTTTGGCTTATCTGGTTTGAGGTGTGTTCAGCTTCTTGAATCTGTAGGTTTATGTCTCGCCAAATTTGGGGAGTTTTTATTTTGTGGAGTACTTTCTCAGCCCCACCCTCTTTCTCCTCTCCTTCTGGGACTGTGCTGACAAAAATGTTTGATCTTTTGTTATAGTCCTGTAGGTCCCTGAGCATCTCTTCATTTTTATTTTTCCGATCTATTTTTTCTCTCTTGTTGAGATTGGGTATTTTCTGTTGTTCTGTCTTCCAGATTGTGGATTCTGTCTTACTTGTTCATTCTGCTGTTGAGCCCATCCAATGAGATTTTAATTTTGGTTATTGTGTTTTTCAGGAGCAGCCATGTTATTGCCGGGCAATGGATTTCTCCACTAGAGCTGACAACACCCCAAAAAGTGTGTTAGGGCACCTCTTTATAGCCTAGTGGGAAGTCTAAGCTCCCCGTTTGGCCTTGGCTGGCCTGCTTAGGGGTGGGGTCACAGTGTCTGTGGTGTGTGGATGGAATAGAGTGTCTAATAAAAAGGTTTTCTGATTTGCTAGGCTGCTCCTTTTCTGTCCTTTGGCTACAGAGAGCAGGCTTTTGTTTGGGCTTTGTCTGTGCCCATTGGTGTTTCTGCCAGGGCTTTTAATTATACTTAGTGAGAAGAATAGGGAGAAATATGTCTACTTGATCTTACTAGAAGCAGAAGTTAAGTTTACTTTTGATAGCTATTGTCAAGTTGTCCTTTGTGGTGCAAACATTTTCAGTTTTGTTTTTTTTTTTAAACTATCACCAAAGCTGTTCTTTTTTTTTTTTTAAGATTTTTTTAATTGGGGAATTGGGG